CATTTTAGTTCATATCATTTTATTTTATCTCAACAGCTAAATACACATAGTATATGCAGAGAAATAAATTGGAAAAGACCCTGAAATTCCCTTTATGGAGGTAAACAGAGATTGAGTGGGGCTTAGGGGAGAACTTCAGCCTAGCCATTTGAATGTTAATAGTGCAAATGCATTTATCTGTGTAATTAAAGGGAAATGTTTCCATGCCCTCTCAATATGTACTGAATGCCTGTACTCTATAGAAGAAATTAAAAAATTGGAAGATATAATAGCAGGGAGGGCAACTGTAGATTCTAGAGACAGTATAAAAGGGGGTGAGTGATATGGGGTGGGAGAGAGAAAATCAGGGGAAGTAAACATTTAACAGACACAAAAATGAAGTTATTTGTTGATGATAATGTATGTGGTAATGTCTTTGACATGACTAATAAGCACCACATTCATGCTGGGAAAAACCATGTTGTACCCTGTAAAAATGTACAGTGATTAATGTAAATTAAAAAAAAAAGTAAATGTTTATGGCCCAGCTGGTGGTGTGGTTGTTAATGTGGGTAGATCCCACATGGCTGGATCTGGTGGCCTGTAAAAAAAGACAAGGGGGGTGTAAAACATGACAGGTGTGTGTATGCCCAAAATCCTGAAAGGAGAAATAGAGTAGGGATAGTGGCCTGACCATCCCTCCAGGGGATGTTTTTTCATTTTTTTTCTCACTCTCTCAGTCTCTTTTCTTCAAGTACATATTACCTCTAGCAAAAAATTTACTAAAAGTAGATATTTACAGCTGTTAGTGAAGGTGGTATAAGGGAAGAAGGTTTCCAGGACAGCCTTGAGCTATCGTGGCCAGTTCAGACATGTACTGCTTCCTGTGAGACATGATCAGACCACACATTTTCAGAGCAGGAGCCAGTTGCCATCCATCTTTGGCAGTGGCAAGAGATCCTTTGTCAACAAATCTGACCGTCTCAGTTTTAGCCCCCTGGCAACTTTACCTTCCCCAGTATCCTGTAGCTCCTCTTCGTCATCTCTCAAGATACTGTACCTAGGTCAAATGCTACTCCTGAAAACCCTTAATTGTGAGTCTCTTTGTTTCCATAGAAGTTTGCTCATACCTCTAGGTCAAACTTAGGGTTTGACCTTTTTTAGCCTTTGTTAATTTTACCTCTCTTCTCTCATTAGATAGTATATCTCTTAACAGTATACACAGGGTCTCTTATTCCAAGTTGAGGTCCACCTCAACCCCTACCTGTATCCTGCTGTCTTCTCATCGCCATTTTAGGGCTTTTGTGCTTTTGATTCCTTCTGTCCTTGTCCCTAGGTAGCTCTTCTTATTGTTTAGGTCTCAGCTCACATGTCATCTTCTTGGAGAGACCATTTTAATTACCATATCTAAAATAGACAAGTTTCCCTCCAAATCATTCTCTATCTCATAACGTCTTATTTTCCTGACAGCACTCATTGTAACTGGAAATTCTCTAATTTGATTCACTTATTGTCTGTCTCCCTTGCTGGAATGTGAGTCACAGAAGGGCAGGAACCTTGTCTATTTTGTTCACCCCATAAGTTCCAGTACCTAGGACAGTGCTTGGCATAATTGTAGGTGCTTGATATGATGAAATTTTATTTGATTATTGACTGATGTGCCCAGTATGATTTCAGCTTCATGAAGGCCTGGACCTTACCTGTGGGACCTCCACATACTCAAGGATCTAACACAGTGCCTGGTATACAGGAGACCTCAATAAAGAATTGTTGGGTGAGCAAATTAATATGCCACACACAGCTTAACTCTACATCCTCCAAATTGATTCTAATTTCTTATTCCCCACCAAGCCTATTTTTCCTTCTATTTACCCTAAGTCAGTGGCACTGTCATCCACTCTGATATTTAACTCATAAATGAATTCATACTCCTTTCACCCACTATTTTCAATTAGTCCCAAAGTCCTGCCTAGTCAACTTTCAAAATATCTAAACTACAGTATTTGATCCTGCCATACCTCTGCCGCAAGTATCCTTGTTTGGGCATAGTCTTTTTTTTCCAGACCTATGAAGTAGCCTTCTCTCTCATGCCTCCATGTGAAGCTAAGAAAGCTTACGCCATGGGATCTGCCATTTGCCAAAAATGGTTACATGGTCATATGTTTCATAAAGCTTGACAAATATATTTAAACTACAATTGTCCTTTTCCACCTGGGAGCCTAGTCACAGTTTCCCTTGCATTTGGTGGTGTTGGAGATGTCTCAATCATTTTTGACATCTACGTAAGGTGCTGTTGACCTGAAGGATACATTTAATTTGGGTTTCATGTGACATTTATATGTGATTTCTAACACTTATAGTTACTATCCAGGTGTAGG